ATGTAGCTTTGCGCGAGATTCAAGACAAATAAACAAACAGACTATTATTCAAGCGAAAATAAGTTGCCGGGTCTTCCATATATAGAAGCTTCATTATTCACCAACTTAATCTTGTTCATACCGAAACAGTTGGTGTTTCAAATAATTGATGATATAAATAGGTCTCCACCATTACTATGTATTTTGTATCATAGCCGGCCTGAGGAGCCCAGGTGTTGGGTGAAAGGCCTCATCGGCAAATATATAGCAGGTATAGACATATTATTACATTCTCCTTTACTTTCACTCCTATGTACTTGAAATTGCTGTAATGTTTGTCGTTTGTTATTTAGCCGCCCAAATTATACATTTAACAAGTTAATGTTATGAAAAATTTTACTTTCAATGGAGTCTACTGATGAAGAAGTGTGTTTCTCTTCTCCCAGAAGAAACTTCAGTCTTAATCAATCAAATGATCATTCTTAATGTTTATACCTTTTATAACGCCCCACGGCTGAAAGGGCGAGCATGTTTGGTGTGAGAGGGATTTCGAACCCGCGACCTTCAGATTGCGAGTCGAGTGCCTTAACCACCTGGCCATGCCGAGCCCAGACAATATTAGGTATTAGACTGAATATTAATTATTGAAGGTTACAAAACAGACAAATACAACAGCATGTTTGTCAATCATAAAACACAACTATAACTTATAAATACAAACAACTGATTTAATTGAGAGATTGATTACACAGTAAAGCATTTGATATATGATAAAAAGTGTATAATGTTTTAACTCCAAAATTTAGCGATTACCTTTCTCACCAGAACAGCTTTCAGAATTAGAAACATTGGATGTTTCTGTGGCATCCTAGCCTAGTTGTAGAGAATGGCTAAGGTGACAAAATATTTGAGGCATTTTTTTCTGTTCTACGAGCACGAAACACCGGTGATGCTAAGACACTGTCTTGATGTATAACAAAAGTGATACGATTGTGAAAGTTATATTCCCTGTTATCATGCTGTCTCTTGATAAAGAGAAACAAAATAATGATCATGAATTAAAATTATAAGATTAAAACTTGCTCTAATCATTTATTAGTACGTTTATTAAATACATCAACCAAAACTGGGAAAAGCGAGCGTATTATATGTATTATATGCATCCAGAGGTTCTTGCTTGAGTAGCAGCACATCTGATTTCGATGAAACCTGCCGTTTGGAGCGCTGAGGTTGAATTGGTTGCATTTTTTGGGCTGAGTGAGCCATTTTAGCGATATGAAGTATTTAACTCGAATACCTATTACACTAACAACAATTAGGTTGTATCGTATAAATTTATACTTATCAAAATCGTAACCAATACACATGACACATACATCAAAACTGGGGAATTTACTGAAGCAAATCTATATAAAAGTAATTAACTTTAAATAGGCCATTTATTTTAAGCTGTAAGGCATGGGAGGCATTATCACTTTTCATGCTATTATCCACCAAGGAAATCGGTAACTAATCCTCCTATCTGAAGTCAGAACTAATTATTTTAAGCATATTAGTCCTGATTAATTTATAAATAACATAAAATATATGTTTCTGTTGTATCAAAAAGCCAAGAGTCACATGAATAACCATGTCTGCATTTCTTCTGTGCTTGCAGTTTGTTTTTGCAAGTTCAAATTTTTAGATACTCACTCAGAAAAATGGTTAGCATCAGTAATGCTATATATTTTCATGTGTGTGTGTGTATATATAGAGGAACATCTAAATATGCCACACCACGGGAATAATAGTAAACCATATATTTGTCTATATATCTTAGTTCATCTAATTTTTAAGGGTTCGATTTTATGAGTGTAACACGTAAAGTTAGTTACAAATTAACAATACCATTAGGTTTGAATAGATTAAGCTAGTAAATATTTCACAGATTCTTAATCATTTGAATAATATATAATTTACAATTAAAATGTAAGATGAATGATAATTCTTCAAATAGAGTTGAAAAGGCTGTAAAGTCATCTCTACTCAACAAGCTCGTGCAACAGTTACTTGAAATTTGGGTGCAGATTCAGGTTCTGAAGCTAGGAGGTTATCCAGTCCTGCAATCTCTCCTCGAAAAAGCCAAAGAATTGTTCCAAAAGATCAAAGAACTCGGAGGAGAAAACATTGTTACTAGTAAAGATTTTCTAGACAAGTTATGGGACAAGGTGCGCGAGATCCTTGACCTATCACGCAAAGTCATGTGTGATCGAAGTAAGTAAAAAACTTTTATAATCATAGTTTTCTAAAATCTATCTTTAGCCATAAAAATACACCCCAGTAGATTTAGAAACACTAAAATATCATTGATGCTGTTGATGTATAGAGTACTTTTAGGTAAAACAGCTTTCTCTCATCAGTGAATATATCCTCTATATAACGGGTGATTCGACTAGGTAGTACTATGAAGTAATTTCGAATTTCTCAGAGTCTGAGTTTATACACATTAAGAGAATGGACACAATATAAATCACACATTGAAAACAATCTTTATTTAATAACACAAGACAACAGTGTTTATATCATTTCAACACAAAGATCAATGGCCTTTACGGGATAGTGTTCAGCTCGTGATCTTTAGGCCGAAGCTCTTCCAAATATGTATACAAGATCTATGAATCCTGTATAATCAATAATTCTATTACAGTCTAAGAACATCATGCTATATACCTAAAACCTACAGTCAGATCTTCCTATGACGAAAAGCGCTACTCACGTGACTGGTTATTCCCATTTGAAAGTAAGGGAAGTTGTAATATCAAGATATTGCCTGACCTACCATTGGAGGAAACTGCTGTCTGCTTCCATACACAAAAGGCAACTGTGCAGCTATATCTCCCATGGGCAAACTAGGTGTCATCTCAAAGGAGTGACAGAGAACAAAGTTTGCTAGAGTGAAAGCAACTTAACGACTTTCTTGAACAGGTATTATATAAAAACTGCTCATACCAGAATAAACGAAATTTGTAATTCTTATTAAAATAAGAAGGTATAAAATGTATGGTATGCCTACATACTACATGTGTATGTTCCTCCATTAAAAAAGTTTTAAGTAAATCACTGTAATGTTTTTCGAACCCCATTCTGCAATGATAAGTCTAGTATATGACTCGATCATATTTTAAAGTAACAAATACTCAAAAACTAATTTGAAAGTATTAAAACTTAAATGCCTCAAAGGTATTGCTTGTTACGAATTAAGGTATGACAATAAACAATCAAAATAATATAAATATATTACACATTACATTCATTACTTGTTCAGTAATTAAGATGGTAATAATTCAAAACAGACAAATGGGCTATACCAAACAGTTATTTTTGTGTATGGCTACTAAACAAAAAAAAAAGCCAAACCTAATCACAAATTCCCTAAAAAAGACAAGAGCAAATATAATCTGGAATTAATTCTGCTTAGGATTATATACATAATTCTTAGCTTCTCCTACCGGTTCAGTTTGTACCCTCTTACATGATACACTAAAAATAAAGTTAAATGTAAAAATATATACAACCCCCACAAGTGAATTTAAAATAGAAAAATCAAAATGTTTATAGCATAACTAGAGCAAGCAAAACAAACTCCAATTTCCTTGAAAGTTAGAGCCTGCTACATTTCAACGTTGTGTTATATTAAAAAAAGTTTAATAAATGTAATAATTAAAGCAAAATGCTACAAAAGTTAAAACTAATTTTATAATAGTTATTCGAGTTAATAGAATTCTGAAAACTCTCTCTAATAAGGCAAAAATGATTTTATATACTAAAATAAAATAACATCATACTAAGCCACACCTGTATACGACTGCACTTTGCTCTACCCTTTAATACAGTGCGATTCCAGTGCAAAGGGCGTGGCAGCCCTTAACCATCATCCCTTTTGCCGACAAAAAAATAGAGCCATCTATCTTACAATGTTATGAGTTATCTTCCTGCAAGAAAACATGGATATTTGCCAATTAGTAAATTCAAGTGCCACATGCACTGGAAAAAGAGAAAGTTGAGTAGCTTACTTGATGGGCTCTCTGCATCCAAATTGATATGAAAAAAAAATACAGAAATGTCTAAAAAAAGTACATATTAACTGGGGGGTAGGGGGGGAGAGCTAGTGCATGATACAGCCCTACACTACAATGATGAATAAACTGAGTTTGTATTAAATACGTAGCTAAATAAAAAGAAGTGATAATAAATAGTCAAATTATATAAAGAGCGAAATACGTTACAAGTATTTACTGAAAGGCTATCTCTAATTCATATTATTGTGACCCCAATGTTGTCGTTAGTGAAAAAATGAAGCACTGCAAAATCTTCGAGTTGGTGAAACTTTCAGTTGAATAACTTAGTGTTTACTTCAAAAAACAAAAAGACTAAATTGAAACCCTTTCTTTACACTAAAAGGGTCCATAATACACAAACCTAGAGAAAAGTTCGCCTTATTGCACTCTTTAAAATGTGTTGAATGTTTATTTAAATATTTAAACCTTCTTTAATGTTAAAACTTGTGTACCTGAGAATGACCGCACCTGTGACTGAAACGTCGTATCTGTTTTTAAGATATTTTTCCTCACTGTAAAAGCTGTAACTTGTAATAAAATGAACTATAGTATTGTTATTTGACATGTGATTTGCTGATTCACGTACATATTTCGTCTGCTTCCAAAAACCTGCCCTCCAGAGACTTAGCGGTAAGTTTTAAGGCTTAAAAGCTAAAAACCAAGTTTCGATACTTGTGGTTGGCACTGAACAAATAACCCATTGTGTAGCTTTGTGTTTAATAATAAACAAAATACGTTTATCTTCTAGATTCATATCGATTTTTGCAAAGGCAATATTTTTTTAATATCCTAATACTTTTTTCTTATATTATATAGCAATTAACCATGATAGAATATTTTCACGCCATGTTTGTTTTAAAAAAATACATTTTAATATTTTCAGTAGGTGAAGTTTCTCACAATTTAGCAGTGACTCGATTGAGTGTGATTGGTTTGTTTTATTTCACCTATAGCTGGGTTAAATGAGCGGTCGGTTTGAGAATAGAAGCCATTATTTACCTAATTTGTCAGATTTTATGTCGTTTATTTCCAGGATTGATATATATTTGTGGAAAAAAATACAAACATTTAAATGCTTTTTGTGTTTTTCAGACGGGAAGTTTACTGGATCTTTTGCTTGGGAACATTATCAAAATATTACTAAAGGTTTAGATATACTCGTGATCAAAGAAAAGCTTTTAAAAAAAGTAGGTTTATTTGAACTATTCGTTTATAATGTTTTATTTGTGTGTACGTCAGGCACTCGGTAAACGATATATTACACTTACGAGTCTGAAAAGAACATCTAGCTACACAGTACCCTGAATAACATACATTTCCGTGATTCATTTCATGCCTAGCTTACACGGAAATATAAGTAAGAGACTCAATTACTATACACATAACATTATCAGCATTTGTCTTCTGATCCAAAGAAGATTTCTACAACTTGGGGCAACATAAGATAATAAGTGATGAATAAAGTAACCGCCTATGGATTATGCTACAGATCCTTCAAACACATGCAAGTGAGGCAACAGTGTGATAATCTACTAAATAGGACGCTTTTTAAGTGTTTGTGAGTAAAGTTTATATTGAGTAAAAATTAAATAAGTCATATATGCACTTTGCACTGCCCTCTTTTTGTTTTACTTTTCCAGTACGTCTAACATGTGTCTAAAATACGAAAGCTTTGAACAGAGGAGTTAAGAAAAAAAAATGAAAACTACGTATGTGACAGTTTTCTGTAGTAAAATAATAATAAACTTTTATTTTATTTGCATAATTTTTGCGTATTACCTATCTAACTTATTTTATATAAAAAAAAATCCAGGCGCGGGGTCGAAACCCGACACCAAACACGTGTAACCTTTCAGCCGTAGGGGCGTTATAATGTAACGGTCAATTTCACTATTCCTTGGTGAAAGGGTTGACGGTGGGTGGTGCTGGCCTGTTGCCTTCTCTTCTGTCGGTAGTACAAAATTATGGACAGCGACAGATAGCCTTAGTAGCTTTGCAATTACAATTCACTTACTCAATATAGTTGACACTATAACAGTTGCTTTTTATGCAGTTAATATAAATAGCGACCACTACTATATGTATTCTGTTCCTGGTATTGGCGAAGGCCTCATCGGCACTAGCTATAGTAAAAACAGTACGCTTGACATATTATTACATAAAGGCCTGTCATGGTCTGGAGGCTAGAGCACTTGTCTCGTAATCTGCGGATCGCGACTTCGAATCCCGTCACCGAACATGCTCTTTCCGCACGAGGAGGCGTTATAATGCTGCAGTCAACCTTACTTTTCGTTGGAGATAGTTGGTGTTGACTAGCTGCTTCCCCCAACCCACCCCAGTTAATAACTTCCACACATTAGGCGTGGCTAACGACAAAAAAGCAAAAGCTTAGCACGAAATTCCAAAAACAAAAACATTATTAAAATATTTTTCTTTGCATTGACTCATAGATTTTTAGGATGGAAACGGAAAAGTTGAAACGGGATAAAAAAAAATATAAAACTCAATTTATAAAAACACGAATCAACATATTGCAGCTAAAATACAATTTTTTTGATTGACTCTAATGTACAAAAATAAAAGCACACTTTTTTGGCCGAAATTTAATTGCATTCGTTTTTCTTTTGTTGTTTTTTTTTTCTCTTTCTCTCTCTTGAAACATGTCTTTCTTAATAATGTCCATACTGAAAACCCACTAGCAATATTCACGTTCAGTATCACTTAGAAATACGTGAAATTAAAACAGTTTTAGCTATTAAAAACGAATATCTATTCAATGTTTAAACATCATTTCAATTCTTTCTTTCTAGCTGGATGAACTGGATTTACAATCTGTAACCTTTGTACGCTCAAATACTACTGAGCACCACACAAATGGAGATTACATTTCTCGCTGGGCGTATTTTGTAGTGAAACAACTAATAAAAAGTATAACAAATCCAATGGGAAAACTCCAAACGATAGTGCTAAAGGTAAGCAGTAACAACAATGTATAGAAGTGTGTTCCGTGTTGTAGTTATAGGATTTAATTTCTAAAACTAAATGTGTTCGGTTTACTTTTTTTGACTCAATTGTAAGTGAAAATTTTATTTTATTCAGTTTTTAATATCATGTAATTATTTACTAGTATAGGGGTTTGATTTCAAATCATATGTTTTCCTGTTATTTAAATCACTTTTTTTCACCATTGCAAATGTTTTGTATTCTTAGTTAAGAAAACTGAAGCGCTAATTTTACCGATGTGCAGCTTTTACTGCTGATAATCCTGTTTTCCTATACTAGAACATAGTTTGTTTCATTATTTTTCGCCAGTAAGTTAGAATATTTATATACAATTAGTAATGATTATTTTTCATCAGTACGTGCAAGTATACGCAGATGTACACCTGATGTTTATCTTCCTAGACTTTGCTGGTAAATTGTTTAAAATAAACTAAAGCATTAAGTATATAAACTAATATTTGTTGTTGTTGTTGTTGTTTCAGTATGTATTCAGAGTGATTAACGACATACAAATCATGGTTAACGAGCTGTTACGTTACCTCCTGGAAATTTTCTGGTTTCTTGAACAGTTTGGATTCGTTATTGAGCTGAATGATTCAGTAAGCCGAAACAACAAGGTTATCTATATATGTGAATGAAACAATTGACTTTCCTGCTAACTCCCCGTGGATGTTTACAATATTAATGTCAAGCTACATTCAAGTATATAAAAGATGGCCCTTTACATATGACCCTATTGATTAAAGATTATACTTTATATGGTATCAAACAAGAAATAGCAACACTTTTGACATTGAAACAGTTTTACAAACCAAGTAGTAACATAAATCTTCTTCAATTTTCAGATTTTTTTTTGCAGTAAATTTATGCATAAAATTAATAATTACTCACCTTTTTTTTTATTTCAATCTGTTTTCGACGTAATTTCCATCATAGTTTTAAACACCGTAAGAAAACCAATTCCATGGAATAATATATAATTTTCTTATAATCTACAGTCCTCAGATCACTCCTAAACGGAGAATAATGCACACCAGGAAGTAATGTTATTTAAAAACATTCAACGTTTTAATTCTTGGGAATAAATTATTGCAAATCATTTTTTTTTTCGTGTTGTTGTTGTTTTTTGAAATACATGTCATTACGATTGATATTGAATAAAGTTAATATTCTAAGAACCGCTGAAAAATTAAACTTTTTTTGATAGTATTAGGTCGTCAAGAAATTAATGTCGCTTTTTTTAGGTGAAAAAAAACCCAACAACTTATATATCAAAACAAAACGTTTATTAAATGAAATGGTCTTCATTCTTATCGATGACGCTTTTCCATCTTACAAGCAGGTTGTTAATGCCCTGATTAAAGAAATCACTTGGCTTTGAAGCAAAAAACATGTCGCTGTCCTCTTTAACACCTTTCATATTTGCATACGTTTTCCTATTAAGATTGTGTTGCAGCGAACGAAAAAGATGATAATCTGGAGAATATGGTGGGTGGGGGAGAACTTCCCAACCCAACTCCATAATCTTGTGTTGCGTCAAACGTGCCACATGTGGACGTGCATTGTCGTGGAAAAGAAGAACACCTTTCCTATTGACGAGTGAAGGGCGTTTCTGATGAAGGGCTTGATTTAAACGTTCCAGTTGGTGACTATAGATCTCTGCATTGACAGTTCGCTGTGGATTGAAGAGTTCGAAATGAATTACTCCATTGATGTCCCACCAAATGCAAAGCATCACTTTCTGCGGATGAAGTCCAGGTTTTGGGGTCCGAAGTGGTTTTTGTCTAGGACTGAGCCATTGTTTTTGGCGTTTAATATTCGCATAAAGAATCCATTTTTCGTCACCGGTGACAATTCTGTCCAAAGATGGTTTATGTGCATTACGCACCAGAAGAGACGAGGCAACATTCACACGTTGGAAACGATGATCATCGGAGATTTCGTGAGGCACCCAAACACCGTCTTTATGGAGTTTTCCCATATTCCTTAGATGTTACGTATTGTTTCATGAGAGACATGCAATTTCAGGGCCATTTCACGGGTGTGTTGCCTTGGGTTAGACTCAACAAGCATCTTCAGAGCATCAATATCAATTCCAACATGTTGGCCCCTGCCATCACAGTTTTTAAGGCTAAAGTCACCTGAACGAAATTTGCTGAACATTTAAACATTTCCATAAACTTCTTTGATATTCTTTGTGGCTACAGAAGTGTTGTTTCCCTTCTTGTATTCAAACAGCATTACATGCCGAATGTGTGTCTCGTCATATACCATCACTATAAGTGATTAGAGTATACTAAACTTTACTCATTATATAGGCTACACTAACGTGACGTTTAGGCGGTTCATTTAACTATTATGCGTGATGTACGTTGTTGTTGTTGTTTTTTTAGGGGGGGGGGGCTAATGAAAGTGTTCCAAACCCTTACATTAATTTCTTGACGACCTAATATTTGATTAACAAATGTACAGGAATTCAACTGGACCACCTATACTTACACAAAAAATATCATATAAAGAACATCGTATTATAGAACCGCTCGTATTTTGAATTTCAGTGCATTGTCTTTTCACCCCCCTCAAAAAAAAACAAAAAACGTTTAGACAATTAAAGTTTAACTGAAAAAAACTGATACTTACAGAAAATGTTTTATTTTTTATTTTTACGTGGTTATAATTATGGGCTTCACTGTTCAGTTTTGGTCCGTACATATATCTTATGTTGCTACAAAATGTTAATAAAAATTGAGTGCTTAAGACAAATCTTATAACATTCTTTAGATATAAGAGAAGTTCAAGATTAATGCGCCAATAAGATCTACAACAGAAAAATTTTGTCTTTTAAAAAACCATGTGATGTCCCCGTCCGAACGTGCTCGCCTTTTCAGCAGTAGGAGCGTTATAATGTGACAGTAAATTCCGCTATTCGTTGGTAAAAGAGTAACCAAAAAGTTGACGGTGGGTGATGCTGACTAGCTATCCTCCCTCTAGTTTATCACTGTTAAATTAGAGACTGTTAGCGCAGATAGTCCTCGAGTAGCCTTGCGCGAAATTCAAAACAAACCACAAATCAAACGATGTGGTATTTTATTTTTTAATAATTATGTTAAAATAGCGAATTGTGTACTATTTCCAAAAGTTGTCATTCTCCTATTTATAAAGACGTTTCCATATGTTAAGGGGAAATATATAAATTTAGGATGTTGAGCTTCTCGTATATTTTCTTTTCTTGTATCTTCCAACATCACATAAAAATTAATTTACGTTCTTGAATTTTTATATATGATAAGACACATACATTCTCAGAGTCATAGTTAAAAACAGGAATATAAATAGATTGAGTAACCCTGAAAGTCTGGTGACTCTCAGTTTCACAAGTTAACTAGCTACAAACCATAACTGGCGGTGGGTGGTGATGACTAGCTGCCTTCCCTCTAGTCTTTAACTGCTAAATTAGAGACGGCTAGCGCAGATAGCCCTCGTGTAGCTTTGCGCAAACTTCAAAACAAACAAATAAACCAAAAAATTTGCCCTATCATTTAACTAAATTTATAACGGGTTAATTTAGATGATAAATCATCAAAACCTCCCAAATACTTCCAGTTAGGTTGTGGCGATTGGATATTAATCGTTGCCATGGTTTGTAGTCTATACTATTACCTAAGTCTAATTATTAATTAGTAACATTTTTATATAAGTAACTATATATATATTAATTATTAAATAATTTCATCCTATGTTTCTGGTGCTAATTTGCTGGCGTCTTCTGTTTTGGTAGTGACCAAGATTCGATCCTTGGTTTCTTTAATGAAAATCATTACGTACTCGGCTAGGGAAAGAAGTTTAGATGAAACCCACAAATACTGGTAAATACCTCAACTGTAAATCAGGTTCTATTTTCTAGAATACGATTTGTAGTACCGAAGAAGCTAAGAAGATGGACGAAGAATACATCACACTACAACCCTCCTTAACAATGAATAACACTCCTAACACTTGATCAAGAAGATAACCACCAAGAACGAAGAGGAAGAAACCTACAGCCATACTATCCTTTGTGAGATGTTTCTTTGAACACTTACAGAGAAGAGAATATGAGAACAATCTAAAGTCAGAATAGTATCCAAAAGCCAAAACACAATATGATCACCTAAAGACCCAATGTAGGGAAAAACATCGCTTACAACATTCCCTATGAATGTGAGCTCCAAAACACTGAAGAATAAAAAAGACCAACAAAATTTAGAATTATAGTAATAAACGACTTTATAGCACCAAATTTGTTTTTCTTTATTGAGATACTCAACGTTTCGCTTTACACCTTCTTCAAGAGCGTTCCACCAAAAAATAAACCGTAATTGACTAATATATAGCTTCAGTGGTTAAACCATATTGAATTCTAATCGATAATGTAGCGTGCGTTTAGCATCACCAGTAGTCAAGCTACCGTATTTTTCGGTGTATAAGACATACTTTTTTTTACCCCAAATTTTGATGTCAAAATCTGC